TCTTAAATCTTCCTCCTCAGAGATGCCAGAGCTGGTATTGTGTTTAACAACAAAAACGACCCTTTATGCCTCCTCCTGCGGTAGCAAGAGGCTAATGAATTCAGGGTAATGAGGAAGATGTGTCTGGAATGGAGCAAGGAAGAGGCAAGAAAGAACCTATGATGATGATTAGATAAGGCCAGTTAACGGAGGGCCTCAGAATACTGGCCTGAGGAGGTGGGGGCTTAATATAGTAGGTAGCAGGGAACTGTTCTAAGTTCTTTATCAGAAAGATATTACAGTTGAAATTTGTTACTTGTTATTTTTGAAATTGGTTACATTTGTTATAATTGAAATGTGAAATTTATTGTTACAACTGAAATTTGGCAACTACTTAGCAGGTTTGCCTCTATAGATATTTTGGCCTTCCTCAGTAAGAGGATGGCTCATTGCCTCAGAATTGAAAATGTCCTTGTTTGCTTAATTTTCCCATTGCTGCTGGAGCAAAACAGGGTTATGCATTTTCAAAACTCTGACCTTCACATAGCAGTAAATCTTGAAGCTGTTATTAAATTATGTTTTTAGTGTCCAAGGAAACTTTGTCCCTCTTCGCAAACGCTGAATGTCATCAGCAAGAATGTTGAACTGGTCCTATGGGTGGTTCTACATGTTTACTGTGCTCTAGAGATAGGACATATGTGTAAGGACAGATGGCTGCCCCTGTCAGGGAGGACTTACAGCAAAGGCTTATTTCTGTTATGGGGGCTCAAGGGCCATTGTGGAGCTCTAATCCTTGGAACTTCCTGCTGTGCCAAGCTTCCTTAGAGCCACCCTTAATGACTGCTATGGGAGCAGTTTCAAGCAGCCCCCAGATTCCCAAGAGAGCTCTTCTCTGACCACTTACAGTCCTTAGAGTCTGACTCACCATCCGTACACTTGATTATTGGTCTTATCTTATTTAGCTCTTTCATATGTTAGTTATGTTTCCCCAACAAAATTAAGTTCCATTTCTCTTGTTCTTCATTTGTTAGACCCATAAATACTTGTTGGCTGATTGTGCTGATAAAAGAACAGCAGCAAAAAACATAGCAAGTAAACTATTACTAGAGTACAGACCACTAGTGCACACTGCTGGTCTGTGAGGCAGCCCTGTCATGGAATCTGTCTGGTTTCTTACAACTTCCACTCATGAATCTCTTTTGAAGTTTTTTGTGTGAATCGAAGTCTATGTCATTATGATTGTCCTTCCAATGAACTCTGGTGTGCTAGAGATGGGGGATGGGATACGGCACACCAGCCCAGCCTGGCACTGCTGGTTACTGCTGGTCAGTACCATCATGTGGCCCATGAGACGTGTGGGAGTCCTGTCATGTAGTCCAGCTGTGGAAGCCTGAAGCCGATCAAGAGGTTGAAAGAAGATGGCTTAAAGTGATGATGTCTCTGCAGGTGGCAGAAATGGAGATTTGGTGGGGACATAGTTGCATTTATAAAATTCACAAGGGAGAAAAGTCACTTCTAACTGCCTGGTATTCTGAAGACAAATGAGAGTTCTGTTTCAAGAAGTGTATGGATATCATTATTCATATCAATATAGATAGAAAGTACCACAGGGTTTCAAAGACAGTTTATATTTGTGGATGATAGATCCAGTCTTTCTCTAGGACAAATTAGTGATGTTTGAGGATACTCCTGACTTTTGAGGTTGATACTGGGAATTACCACCAAATCTTTGCATAGCTTATTCCTATTTAAGAGAGATCGCTAGCTTACTGCAATTATGGGACTAACCCAGGTGGGTATTAAAGGCAGAAGATGGGTTGTAGTTTGTGGTGGTCTTAGCCTCTGGCTTTCTTATTTCCCCTTATTCTGGGTAGAAAGGCCTGCTGGTCCCACATCTGCCTTCCCAGTCACACCCACTCACTAGTGACAACTGGCTGCCAGTAGCCTTGTCTCCGAAGAACAATACAATGGGCCTGTTGTGTACTTGTTGACACACAGAGTGGATTGTTTTAGCAGGTGCAGAAGATATTCTGTGTGGAGATTACAGAGACCTTTATCCTGGATGGCGAAGCATAATTCAAATCTAAGTTGTCCTTTGTCCGGTCAACAAGCAGGTGTTGAAATGAGACTTTAGTTAAGCTCGGTCCTTCAGGGTGTGGGGGCATCATTAATGTGTGTGTTTGTGTTCTATTCTCTCTGTATCTTTTCCCTTGAATAAAACAGTTTAAACTCCCATTGGTGGCCAATCAGATGGCTCTGATTTTTCTAAGGCTTTTCATTGGCAATGATACACCCAGGGCAGTCTGAATTCTGGAGATGTTACTTCTTTGTTTTCAAGAGTGATTTTAGGGATGGGCAGTGATGAGGAAGATGGCTATTTTTTGCCAGCGTGGTAATTTCACTTGGCTTGTCTCAGAGATGGAGCCTTGTGTTTCTCCTGTGTCCTTTTGGGTCCCTGATGAGTGCAGATGACTTTTCTGAATTCACTTCTTGACTATCTGTACTAGTGAAGGGGAGCAGTGGAAAAGAGGGTAAATCCACAAGCTTGTGCTATGCAAGGACTTTCATTACCCTGAACTCAGTTAGCCAGACCCTACCCTTGGATTTTAGGAGAAGAAAGAAAATCATACAAAAGCAAGCTGAGAGCAAGGATTTTGTTAAAAAACAAACGAGCAGGCAAGCAAACAAAAAGCCACAGAAATCGTTTGCAAATTCACTCCGTATGTTCACCTTCATGGCAAATTGCTCAGCCAAGCAGTAAGGTTGGTTCCCACCCGCCATGCAGTTGAGTGTGTGGCAGGGAGGCAGGAGAAGGATCTCATGGGGATTGTTCCAAACGTGCAGTGAAGGTACAGCCTGGGGTTAAAGGTCTACTCTGAGTGGACAGCGGTGTGCTTAATTAATCCCCATGCTGATGAGGTAAGCCTTTTTCCTTAGCTTACTTTCTTCACTCTCCCTCTGGTCCTTGTTCATCTACTTATAGTTAGCTTCCAAGACAAGATTTCTGTGTTGAAGGAGGAAATATGCATCAGGAGAAGGAGAATAAAAATAGGTCAGTGATAACTCTCATCACATATTCCCATTTATTTGGTTTGATATTCAGTTCAACTGGACAAGTATTTGTTGATAGCTTCTTTGTTCCCATACTTGTATTAGGCTCAGGGAGATAGATCCATGATGATAATGCTAATAGCTGACATTTACTTAGCATTTACTATGTGTCAAGAGCAGTTCGAAGCATTTTATTTATATTCATGCTTTTGAGTCACACAACCACCCTATGAAATACTACTATTATCATCTTCATTTCATAGGTAAGGAGACAGAAGTTAACTCAGTTACCCCAACTAGGAGCTGGTAGAGCCAGAATTCAAACCCAGGCGTTCCCACTCCTAAATGGCAGGGTTCTTGCTCTTTGGAAGTTTAATTGGGGGAGATGAAGTCAACGTAGTGAAAAACAGTGCAGTTTAGGATAGGCCTTTGGAAGAGGCAAGACCTCGCTAAATCTCAGATTCTTCAGCTATCACAGATGTAGTGTGAGAAATGGATGCTACAGTGCATCTGAAGAGCCAAGTGCATATGGTGTGTGCTCAATAAGTTGTGGCTGTAATGGTGACAATGATGGCATTGCTGGCTTTGGATCTGAAAGGCCAGTAGAGCTGGGATATCCAGAGAGGGAGAGGAATGGCCTTCCAGGTGAGTTAAGGGGAAAGAGGGGAAGAAATATGATATTGAGAAGGGGTGCTAAAGAGATACAGTTTTCTTATTCACTTGCTTATGGTCACTGGTCACCTACTGGCTGAACTAATTGAGGAAGGAAGAGGAGTGAGTGGATGTTGCAGAGTCAGGCAGCATCTCTGAAGCTTTTCAGTGGCCTTTGAACATGCTGGACATACCATCTGTTTGACACTGGGACTCTGCTTCATGGCTGGTCCTTATCTTTTCTTCCCCCTCCTTGAGCTCAGGCCCAATGTCAGATGAGTAAGTACAAAAAGCTCTGGACATTCCCAGAATGAGAGCAACCTGTGGTGCTTACAATCCAGGCTCAGTTACATCCCGGACCTTAATAGGTATGAGCCTTTGCTGAAGTGCATAGGAAATGTGGCTCCCAGCAGGCTGATGGGAGGGACTAGGCTTGGGGGTATCAGAGGTCCCTTAGACTTATCTCCTGTATATTACAGGTAGCATCAATCAATGATGTATTTGTTGAGCTCCTAGTATGTGCAGAACCATATGTTAGGAGGTTTTGGTAATTTGAGAAAAGTAAAGAATATGTCCCTGGCCTTGAAGTACTGTGATTTTGTTGTGGAGACCAGAGCGACACACTGGTAGTAATTGGGGGTCAGTATTGGGTAGGAATAACCAAGTGTTCAATTGTCTACTTTCTTCAGATGCCGCTACCTGGCTGTTCAGCTGTCTCCTGCCATCCCTGTGTTCGCTGCCATGCTATTCCTGTTCTCCATGGCTACCTTGCTGAGGACCAGCTTCAGTGATCCTGGAGTGATCCCTCGGGCCCTACCAGATGAAGCAGCTTTCATAGAAATGGAGATAGGTGGGTTTTCTGACCAGCTGGCAAGATGCTGTACAATGAGTGGCTTTGATTGGTAAGGGAGTGGAATCATAATTATAGTTGCAGATTAACACTCACTTCCTGTCTTTTCCCCCAGAGATCCTGAATCTGAGATTGTTACCAGTCAGTAAAGAATGTGAACTTCATTCTTCCCTCTTTTGGGTTGCATTTCAGGAAGGATTTCTTACCAAGGTCCTGCTACACTGTTTCCAAGAGGATTTTTTTTTAATTAAAAAGATAAAAACTTTTTGGGGATCATCAATTCATTTGATTTTTTTGAATGAAAACTATAAACCTCTTCATAAAAATATTCTTATAGGCATCACACACATGCAACTTTTTAATATTTATTTTTATTTATTTATTTGGCTGTGCTGGGTCTTAGTTGTGGCACATGGGATTTTTGTTGGGGTGTGGAAGATCTTTTTCGTTTTCAGCATGTGGGATCTAGTTCCCTGACCAAGAATTGAACCTGGGCCCCCTGCATTCGGAGCTCAGAGTCTTAACCACTGGACCACCAGGGAAGTCCCTGGATATAATTTCAGGACTTCATAGATCTTTTGAAGCACTTGCACAGGTTTCTAACTAAGAATTTCTGCTTTAGGGAAACACAGGATGAAAGGGGACACTTGTGGTGCCAGGAACCATTGAGAATTCTAGGAATGGTAAAAGAAGTAGTTATAAGCTCATCACAGTGCAGTCTGCAGCTCAGGGTAGGGCTCTTTGGGACAGAGATGAAGTGCTGTGCTAACCAGGAGCTAGCCAGGGTGCCTTCATGAATTGAAACAGAACATTCCAGAACTCGAGGAGGGGATATCCTAGGAGCTCACACTGCAAAAGAAGGCTCTGATGCCAGTACTCAGAGAGACTGGGAGCCCACCAGATCCAATAGCAGTCAGTGCCTGCCTAAGTTGTTCTTAAGTCTGATACTCAAGTAGCTAGAGTCAGCATCCAAGTCACGTAGAGTAGAAGAAAGGGACCCAGGACTTCTAAGACTGAAAGCCGTGGCAATGAAGCACTGATCCATGGTTAGCCTTTAGTTCCTTCAGGTGCTTTGTTGTTATTTTTGCTTGTTTGTTGGGATTTTATTAATAATAATATTATTTTATTTAATTAAAAAGATACAAACATGTTAGAGTTCTAATAGGTATTATATTGCATTTATATCTTATTTTTGAGAGAATTTATATTTATATAAATATTATATGCCTCTCCAAGAGGATAGTATATTTTTCTGTATTTTCAGACTGAATTTTGTACCCTTTGATACAATTTTTATTGTTTTTAATTTAATTTCTGTACTTCTCATCCTGAGTTTTTTCCTAATGCTTATATGCGTGCTGTTGTCAAGGAAATGTTTTCTCCCAGTTCTAGTTGGTTTCTTCCCCCGCCTCACAGTTTTATTGAGATATAATTGACATGTGACATTGTGTAAGTTTAAGATGTACAATGTTTTGATTTGATATTCTTGCTTGGAAAGCTTCCAGCTTTTGTATTTCTTTTGTTTATTTAACTGTGTTTATCTTGCTTCTTAGTGGATTTCTTTTCGAAAAATTTCAGCCTGGTTTAGTTGTGCTAAGGGGACATAGGTTTGCGCACATCTGAGCTCAGACTACTTAGGGATGCAGTGAGGGTGGGAGTTGTGGGAAGGAAACAGGTGGGGTTTGTTGGCACAGCTGGAGTTGGGGAAGACCTGGGCTAGTTAGCAGCAAGATAGGAAGGGACAGTTGTGAGTGTAGGCTTTGCTCTCTCTGGGTTATTCTTTTATCATCCTCTTTCCATTCACATGTGGAGAAACTGAAGGTCAAGGCAGTGCTTTGACGTGATCTTGCCTCTCACAGCAGACGGTTAGCAAGGTTAGCTCTGTTTTGCCAGATTGTTGGGCCCAGGGCCCAGTCTTGAGCTGTCAGGTTGTTACCTCTGCATTTAGCATGTTTCTCTCAATAGTAGAGTGTATTCTTGAGTTCATACATATGTTTATGTTAACAAGTTTTTGTCAACTTACATTTGGCCCTGTACTAGGTATGCTGTGGGTGGGGGCTGGGTAGGGGAGAGAAGAAGACATGTGGTCCCCTTGCATAGTAGCCCGCCTCACGGGGAGGGTGAGCCATGAACTCTGTCTCCCAGGTGCCTTCATGCAAAGCACATGCAGAGGAATGTTAAGGTGACATGCTGGTACTTATATCATCCTCTAATGAATAGCTCTCCCCTTTCTTTTAAGACTTATGTCACACTGTTATTGTTTGATTTCACAGCATCCACCCCACTCTGCAAAAAAAGGAAAAAAGTTCCATATGGCAGATATTTTTAAAATCAAAGTGAATTGAAAAAAATCTGTTTTTAGAATTATCCTGCACAGCAAGGGTGCCATGAGATAGGCACTCTCACATGCTCCAGATGGGTGGGCATGCATTAAATTGATACAGTCTGTCTGGGAGGCGGTTTGGCAATAAGTGACATGGGCTTTAAGGTTCTTACCCTTTGACTCAGTAATTTCACATCTCTCAGGATTAGCTAAAAGAAGTAATCTGGGATGTACACAAATAATCGTAGAAGGATTTTTAATGCATCATTTTTTTTCTTTTTCCTAGCTATTTTAATGACAGCAACTTAATATATTACTGCTCAGACTTCAACATGTTTTCCTTTTTTTCTTTATGATTTAGCAATAAATTTTAACACATAAACATATTCTTGAGGAAAAGGAGGAGATTGTGATTAGGGTGGAGATCAAAGGGAACAAGCTTTGTCTTTAATGTTTTAAGTTTTTGCATACAACATCATTTAAATAGCAAAATTCCAGAGACAGCTTAAATGCCCAATAACATGGATTGGTTAAAATAATTGCAGTACATGCATATGATACAATATAGATAATGATGTTTTCAGAAAAAAACAACTGTGGAAAAATGCCCATTGTATAATGTTAAGTGAAAAATACAAGGTATAAAATTGTATCTATAATATAATATCAAATTTAAAAAATTATGAATGTTTGTTTATCTGTTGAATAGAGGGAAATACACCAAAATGCATAAATATCCCTGAGTTGAGAGATTTTCAGTGATTTTTCTTATCTCCTATTTGTATTTTCTGTTTTTTCAAATTTTTTTGCAATAAGCATGTATCACTTATTTTTAAATAATTGTTTTTATGATTCTAAATATTGCCAGTTTTTTCATGCATATATTTACTTTTACAAGATAAAATCCCTTATACCTGTTTCTTTTTAGCATACATTTTCATTTTTCAGTATGTTGTGAACATTTTCCTGTGTCATTTAAAATGCATACATGATTTAAAATGGCTACATAATATTTCATCCCATGTGTGTATCATAATTTACATAACCAATCTACTACTATGATATTGATGTTATTTTCAGTCTTTCACTATTAAAAGGGAGTTCTGTGACAAATACTCTGCGTTAACATCTTTTGTACATCTCTTTGTAATTTGGTAAGTTCCTAGAAGTTGAATTGCTGGGTCAAAAGTATACACATTTAAAATTTTGGTAGTCACTGCTATATTGCTTACTGCTACCTCCTCCCCATCCTTGCCAACACTGAGTATTTTTCTTTCTAATATTTGTTAATATAGAAAGTGGAAATGGTAACTTTGTGTTAACTTTTTATTTCTTGTGGTTATAGGTAAAGTTGGATGTTTTCATTTCATATATTTTTTAGCCATTTTTATTTCTTCTTATATGAATGTTTTTCTTTGTTATCAGCCAAAAAGCTTGAAGAAACACTTTTTTACATGTAAACAAAATAATTGCATGGCACTCAGTGGAGTTTTGGGAAGATACTCTTGTGATGTTGAGAGTCTAGTCTGGAGATGACAGTGGGCCTAGGGAACCTTTGATTATTCTCATTGCTCTTGGAGGGATGGTATTAACTGTCTTTACTGATCTACAGAAGCTACCAATGGTGCGGTGCCCCAAGGCCAGCGACCACCCCCTCGTATCAAGAATTTCCAGATAAACAACCAGATTGTGAAACTGAAATACTGTTATACATGCAAGATCTTCCGGCCTCCCCGGGCCTCTCATTGCAGCATCTGTGACAACTGTGTGGGTGAGTAAAACCAAAGGGGCTTTGCCTGGGGGAAAGGCTGAGTTGAAGAGAATCAGACTGATTTTGAAAAATCAGTGGGGATGAGAAGATAGATTTAGATAGAAAATGAGCTAGATTTAGTTAAGAAACTTGAGATAGGAAACAAGCTTCTGAACAGTTGTAAATCAACTGTACTTCTGTAGATCAGATCATAATTTAAATATCCTCTAGTCTAAAAATTAAAAAAAAAACCTCTTGTAAATGAAGAGATAAACTTTACCTGTGTTTCAAATCTGATTTTTCCTCTGCTGAATCTGTTTCAAGTGGAACCCATCTTACAGAGGGGGAGGAGAATTCTAGTCCACTGGAGGGCAGCATCGAGGAAGGAAGGGCTAAATAAGAAGTGGTGTTCCCAAGAAGAAAAAAGTTGCTAGCACTGATTGAATTTCTCGTATTTATTAGGCACTGTGCTAAGTGCTTTCCCTTTCTCTCATTTAAGACTTATAAAAACACCATAAGATAGATATTATCCCCATTTTACAGATGAGGAAATAGGTGAAGCACCTTTGTGTATGTTTGTATGAAGCTGGAAAGGGTCTAATTCCAAAATCCTCATTTTTTCTTTCTCTGCTTCTGCTTCAAGTGTGGCAGGTGTATGTGTACATAATATAGGGTCTGTGCTTCTGTCTGCATATATATGTGACTTAATTGTAATCACTGCCTAGTGTATGCTGAGCCCTGGGAAAGATCAAAAATAGACAGTAAATACGTCTGTTGAAAGGCAGATGTGTGCAGTTCCTTATATTATCAATAGGCATTCTTCCAGCATTCTTTGTATGTGCCATGGAGCATGCCTGAGTACATTGCTTTCCTCTTATCAGCCAGTTCTTTTTAGATTAAGGGTGGGAAGATGTATCTTACTTTAAATGGTAAAAGCTATATGTAGATAGGATTTTTATAAATTGAAACATTTTAAGTGAACCAGGAAACTTGATATTTCAAGAAAGTCTGATGTGATGGTTTTCAGAAAGAATTTCCTCTCCTTATTAATATTCTTAAACATAAAGAGCTCATGCAAGTTGGTTTTTTTAAGAAGAAGCCCTAATATTTCAGTAGAAATATGGACAGCAGATAAAACAGGAAATGCAATTACTTAGTTAACCTGAAAAAAGTGTTCATCTCTATTCAACATCAAAGAAAAAAATTAAAACAAGATCTTTTTAAATCTAGAAATTCATCAAGGATAACTTGATAATGCTTCATCCTACACTGGTGAGAGTATAAATTGGAACAAACTTTTTGGAAGGCAACCTAGTAAGATTCACGCCTTAGAACATGTATACTCCTTGATGCCACTAACTTGCTTTCTAGGGATCTATCCTAAGAAAAGTAATTAAGGATATGGTAAAAGATTTAGGTATGGACATATTTACCTCTAGATTATTATAATAATGAAAAATTGGAAAGAG